CGTTCTATAACTATTGCAAACAGAACCAAGAGGAAGGTATGTACCTAGTCTATGTCTCTAAGAAAGGGGAGGTCGTTAAAACACCCCCAAAGATAGAGACCATTGTCGCTAAGTACCCGGATCTGTTTGAGGAACCTACATGGGTCGTGTCCATGCCATAGAGATCATCTCAGGTAGCAAGACACCTAAAGGCAGAATCTACAGGATGGCTCCGGCCAAGTTGGATGAGCTTCGGCAACAAATGAAAGAGCTCACAAAGAAGGGTTGGATTCAACCTAGCACCTCCCCCTTTGGCTCACCAGTTTTATTTGTTCCAAAGAAAGGGGGAACACTACTGATGCGCATTGATCATAGAGGTCTCAATGCTATCACTGTTAAGAACGTAGAGCCTCTACCATGCATCGACGACCTATTGGATAGGGTGCAGGGATGTAGGTACTATACAAAGATAAACTTAAAATCCAACTACCATCAAATTGCTATAAGACCAGAGGATCAGCACAAAACTGCATTCCAGACCAGGTACGGTCTGTACGAGTTTATGGTGATGTCTTTTGGCCTTTGCAATGCGTCGGGAACATTTGAGCACACCATGAATAGGATCTTCCATGACTGCTTAGATAAGTTTGTCGCTGTGTACCTCAATGACATACTTATCTTCAGTAAGACTGTCGAGGAGCATGCTCAAGATGTAGACAAGGTACTTTCACTCCTTCGACGACACAAGTATAAGATAAATGCAAAGAAATGTGAGTTTGGATGCACTCGAATCTTGTACTTGGGTCATGAAGTATCCGCGGATGGGATTGGGCCTGAGGATGCAAAGGTGGCTAGCATACGTGACTGGCCACGACCCCAGTCTGTGACTGAGGTCAGATCATTCTTGGGAATGTGTGGTTATTATCGCAATTTCGTTAAGAATTATAGCACGATCACATCTCCCTTGATTGATCTAACTCGACTTGATACGCCATGGGACTGTACCGACGAGTGTGAGGCAGCTTTCAAGTGTTTGAAGCATGCACTCACACACAATGAAGTTCTCATGGTACCTGACCTGCAAAGGCCGTTCGTTGTAACCACTGACGTAAGTCAATACGGTATTGGCATAGTGGTGGCTCAACAGGAAAGGAAAAAGTTGAGACCGGTCGCGTACATGAGCAAAAAGATGCCATCAAAGAAGTTGGCAAAGTCCACCTACGAGAGGGAACTCTATGCCCTCTACAAGGCACTTGTCCATTGGAGGCACTACCTGTTAGGAAGGTTCTTTTATTTGAGAATTGACCATCAGACGCTCAAGTGGATCAAGACACAACCAGTTTTCTCCAATGCACTCAAACACTGGATTGAAGTCATAGATCAGTATGACTTCAAACTAGACTATGTGAAAGTAGAGTGCTACAAGGTTGCAGATGCATTGTCTCATAGGGAAGATTACCTAGGTGCACTGATTTATGAGTTTGGCCTTGCTGAGGACGTTACGCGATCCTTGGGGGAAGCCTACAAGGAAGACCCCATCACGATGGACATCATCAACAAACTGCAGGTCAAAGACAAGGCTACCAGTGACGAGTTTGTGATGGTGGATGGGTTACTCTTTCTTGAGAAGGCAGGGTTTAAAAGGTTAGTTGTTCCATCTAGGGAAATTTTGCGTAGTTTATTCTTAGGTGAGTGCCACGACGCAACGGGACATTTCGGCTATAAGAAGACTAGTGCTAATTTAGTACAGCGATTCTGGTGGCCTAACATCCTGGACAGTGCAAAGAAGTACGTACAGACCTGTCAGGTCTGTCTGCGGGACAAGCCACAAACTCAAGCGCCGCTTGGGTTACTCAAGCTTCTACCCATTCCTGCTGGCCCGGGGCAGTATCTCCATGGACTTCATGGATACTCTCGTGACCAGCAAGAATGGCAAAAGGCACATCTTGGTCATAGTTGATAGGTTCACTAAGTTTGCTAGACTAATTGCCATGCCAGAGGCCGCCAGGACTGAACACGTCATCAAGTTATTCATGGATAACTGGGTGCGTGACTTTGGGCTGCCAAAGACGATTGTTAGTGATAGAGATGTGCGTTTTACCAGTGAGATGTGGAAGAAGGCAGCTGAACAGATGGGCAGCCAGCTCCAAATGACTTCTAGGAATCATCCCGAAGCCAATGGGCAGGCTGAACAGATGGTGGTGTAGCATCTGCAGAGGCATTATATTAAGCCCAGCCAAGATGACTGGGATGAGAAGTTACCTCTCATCGCCAGTCTGAACAATAACGATGTATACAGCACCACCGGGGTCACCCCGAATCAGCTGCATCTGGGGTGGAAGCATAGATCTGCACTAGACTTCCTCCTCCCTGAAAACCGACCTGCTGCAACGCCTGGAACCATTGAATTTGGTGTCCAGTACGAGAAGTTGCTGCAGCAAGCTGTCGAGAACATCAAGAAGTCTCAGGAAGCAATGATTGCTTCTGAGAACAAACGTCGCCGACAGTCCTCATTTCAGATAGGGGAACGTGTCTGGGTTAAGGCTAGTGAACTGGGACAGGAGTTCGGCATCTCTAGGAAACTAATGCCTCAGTATTTTGGTCCCTGGGAAGCCCTGGATATTGTGGGTAGTGAAATGGATGGTCCCTTGTACGTTATTCGTATCCCTGGTCACTTACGCACTTACCCTGTTTTTCATGCCTCAAAGCTCGCTCCTTTCACTGAGACAGAACAGTTCCCATCACGGAGATCTATGCTGCCCCCAACCATGGATGTCCACGTGAACGGTGACGATATCCTGGAATACAGAGACATGCCTGTTCCCAAGCCAGCTGGCAGGGGTACGAGTCAAGGCATCATACGGATCCTAAGGAAGATCGATGGTTCACAAGGGAGGAACTAGTCAAGACAGCCCCTCAGATCGGGGCCGAGTACGAGAAGAAACTGAAGGGGAAGGCACCAGCATGAAGCATTTCAGCGGACTTTAGAAGCTAAGGGGGATGGAATGCGAGGAACGAGCCCTCACAAAGGCCCTTATCGGGCAAACACATGTTCTGGGCATAGGCCCCCAGCAAGCCAAGTGCCCGCCCTAAGTGGAGGCGGGCCTGAATAGTCATCAGAGGCCGAAATTCGACATTCTCATACACGGGTATTCACGTTGTTGCAGCCTGCCAGTTGGTTGAGTGGACGCGTGAGCCTCATGGAGCTGCCTCGTACAGTTGGCCCAGGCCCTGGCAGTTGCGCCTGGGCACATACACAGAAAGCAGGGCCGATACATCATGAAGTGGCCATCGGCCTATGCAAAAGCAATACTGTCGACGCACCTACCCAACTGTAAAGGGCCCAGGCCCTCAAGTGTAGTCTCGGGCTTGGGCGCAGGAACTGACCGAAAGCTACTGGAAGCTTCCAGCCAGGCCACATGCAGCATCCAGGAGACTGCCACTTCCATATAGGAAGTAAGGCAGCCCAGGCCGGGCATTCTGGCCCGCGTAGGCAATGCGGACACACTGCAGCACTGCTGCATTGATGCTGCGCTGCGGCCAAGGGCGCTGGTGGGGCGTGTAGAGGTGAAGTGGTGCGCTGCAGGGCAGTGGTGCGCTGGCAGCCATAGCCGGGCTGCTGGGCGCTAGGGGGTAATGCGGGCGATCTGGTGGTCTTCAGGGAAGGAGGCGAGTGTGGGTTACCAAGGTCTGATGAGGGTGATGAGATACGTACCTGGTGCATGAAGAGAGGTCGGCTATGGTGTTGGCGTCATGTACTTCGGTCTTCGAGAGTCGAAGTGATCCTGTTGCGTGAACACAGCTGTAGGTAGGATAGTTGGGTAGAGTAGGCTAGGCGCTGGGCGCCAGACACAGATTGAGCGACTTTGGATACTGTGTTGGTGTGGCCTGAGGGCTTGAACATTGGCTCATTACTTCATTGTATTGCTCTATTTGGATGGATTCTCGGTGCAATTGTGCTCTCTGCTTGTACACGACTACTTGGACATCTGTGTGATTTCGCAATTTGGTTTCCGGTATATCGTTCACACTCATATTCCTTGCAATACCGCCCTTCTGCCACCCTGGGGCTTTGAAGAAAAGTACAGTGAAATGTTCAGAAATTGGAACTGTGGGAGACCTTGATGTTGCTTTTCTCATCCCTTCCTCCTCCAACTCAAAGACGAGTTCTTCGTTGCACTCTGTTTCCACTTCTCGGCTTGCCTCAGGTTCTGTTTC